AATAGGATTTTACTGTTTTTACTGTAAGCCGCCTAGAGTGGTCTAATATGATCAGATAGGCGGGATAGAAATAAAATAAATAAATAAATAAATAAATAAATAAATAAATACTTACCTGTAAGTCTGGTTTTTCAAGTGGTCATTTGTGAATTCACACTTCCCACCCATCCTCCCCTCTGTCTGTCACGTCTGTCTCTTTTTTAGTACAGTGGCAGGCTGTTCTTAGAAACTGAGGTAATCACCAGGATGGGAGGACCACATGTACTAGGGGGGCAGTCTTGGCAGATGCATGATAAAGCTCTAGAATATTCCAGAAACCTCTGAGCAAGCACAGATTAAACCCTATAGTTTGAACTCACAGATGACACTTGAAGAACCAGAGTTACAGGTAAGTAACCTTTCTATCTTCACATTAGGCAGAGATGTCTGTCTGCTGCACCTGTGCCAATTTGAACAAAAGCCCAGTTTCAAAGTTATAATTATTTTGGGGTGTTCCCATTTTTAGAATTGCCTTGTAGAATGTTGATTTGCTTTGCTGCACAATGACATCACTGTATTCTCATGCAGCTATAATGCAGGGAGAAGAGAAAGTTGGTGACATATATACACTCTAGTAGAACTTGAGTGGAACTCTGCACAAAGAACTGCCAGCGACAGCCAACTAGGAATCTTAGCCACAGTTGTTCCAGAATAACTCTATCTTTATATACAAGAGTATCCCTATTTATTTATTTTTCATTTCTTTCTATTGTAACAGTATATAGCAAATAAAATGAGTGCCACTTTTGTTACATTTTACAGCTACTAGTGTAGCTCCTGCTGAGTTCTTGTGCTGTCTTTTAACTTAGTGTTTTGGTGGTCTTGTTTCCTGGCAGTTCAAATCTACACCAGCTAAGAATGTGTCAGTAGTGGGTTGGATGGTTATGATGGCTGATGATTCAGATCATCCAGATTTCTTCTTGCTCACAGATTCTGAGAAAGGTTGGTAACATCTAGGCTCAATTTCTTATCATGGAGCAGGAAAAGAGAACACATTTTTTGCTATTAATTGTGCTGGCTGAGGCTGAGGACATCCTTATCTGTGCATTATAGACTCTTTTCTGCTACTTGGTTGTACAAGTGAAATCTACATTGCTGGGGGGGAAATCACTCATTGGCCACTCAGAAGTCTTTTGAGGAGAAAGTGACTCTTGTCACTTTGTTTTCTGAAAAATATGAACTAATAATCCAAGAGGATTTTTAGGATGACTTACAAATATTGTAAAAATAGAAACAGCCATATGAAACAAATTAATTCTGATCTGTTCCCAAATACTTATGTGACTTTTCCAGATTGTTTTCCAGAAGCTATTGGAGTAGCTTTTTTAAAATTATACTTTGAAATATTTTACTTGAACCATTTTTTCAAGATAGTATGTAGTTGAAAAAAGTTTAGTGTTGAAACTTTTAATAGGTGCTTATGTGCCTGTTCAGGAGTTTTTAAAATAATTTAGCAATTGCATTCTTTAAAAACAGTAATCTATTTCCATTTCCCCTTGTTATTGGCAGGTTGTAAGGGAAGTGCGAACTGCAAGTGGTGTGTGGGCTAAAGTTTCTTTGCCACCATGCTGATAATAATGGTCTCCATCTTTAATAGCAAGTCCTTAGCCCCATGCAGTGAAAATACAAATGTACAGAACTTGCCTGGTGTGGAATGGTATTTTACTGACTCAGAACTCCAAGACCATTTGCAAGGAAGATAAAGAATTTTGAGAGAGTCTTCTCTACTCAACAGTTAGCTTTGCCCTTTGAGACTGAGCATTTTCAGGATTCTATTGACCAGTGTTAATTTATAGATATACACTACTTATAGATATCCTGTACTCCAAATAATATCTTTCTTAATTAGGTGGGATCATTTCCTTACATGAAAATAATTTAGTCTGTAATTGCAAGTTTGCAATGATATACAAAGATCAGTTCACATACAGTAGGGATTGGGATTATAAAAATGAGGTTGTTTGCAGCGGATGGGTCACATGTTGCACTTGTAATACCCAGTTTGTGAAACAAATACAGTGTACTGAAAATAACCATTTGGGGCCTCTTATGTTGCAAGTCATGATTCTTATGATATATGCAGTCATGTGAAAAAGAAAGTACACCCTCTTTGAATTCTATGATTTTATGTATCACATAATAAAAATCATCAAGTCCTTGGCAGAGCTGAAAATTAGGTAAATAAAACTTCAGATGAGCAACACATATTACACCATGTCGTTATTTATTTAATAAAAATAAAGCCAAAATGGAGAAGCCATGTATGAAAAACTAAGCATACCTTGTGATTCAATAGCTTGTAGAACACCCTGCACAGGAATAACTTGGAAGTAATCATTTTCTGTTCAATTTATCAGTCCCTCACATTGTTGTGGAGCAATGTTGGCCCTCTCTTCTTTACAATGTTGCTTCAGTTCATTGAAGTTTGCAGGCATTTGTTTATGCACAGCTCTCGTAAGGTCCTGCCACACATTTTTAGTTAGCTTGAGGTCTGGACTTTGGGTCATTGCAATACCTTGATTTGTTTCTTTTCTTTTTCAGCCATTCTGTCGTAGATTTGCTGGTGCGCTTGGGATAATTGTCCAATGTCAGCCAAACTTGAGCTGTCAGACAGATTGCCTCATATATGCCTCTAGAATACTTTGGTATACACAAGAATTCATGGTGGGCTCAATGACTGCAAGGTGCCCAGATCCCGTGGCTGCAAAACATGCCCATATCATCACCCCACCACCACCATGCTTGACAGTTCTTGCAAGGTGTTTGTGCTGATGTACTGTGTTTGGTTTTCGCCAAATGTGGCACTATGCATTATGGCCACATCTCCACCTGGGTTTAATGTGTCCAAAGGACATTGTTCCAGAGGTCTTGTGGTTTGTCCAGATGCAACTTTGCAAACCTAAGCTGTGCTGCCAAGTTCTTTTTCAAGGCAAGATGGTTTCTCCTGGCAACTTTTCCAAACCAACCATACTTGTCCAGTCTTTTTCTAACTGTACTTTCATGAGCACTACTGTCATGACACTTAACATGTCAACTGAGGCCTGTGAAGTTTGCAGTTTCTATGGTCAGACCTTGGGGTGAATCTGCTTGGATGTTCACTTCCAAAAATATTGGCAACTGTCCTGTTGTTTTACACTTTTCCACCTGTGAATAATCTTCCTCACTGTACAATGATGGACTTTAAATTGTTTGGAAATTTCCAGATTGATGGGCAGCAACAATTGCTTCTCTATGATCATTGCTGATGTGTTTCTTCCTTGGCATTGTGTTAATGCTCACTTGAACTGTGGCATTTATAGAGGTGGTCACACTTGCTGATTGCTCAAGGGCAATTGGTTAGCAGTACTTGTCTGCTACTTAGCCTCTTAATTCCTATGGAAGAAGTAAGAGTGTGCTTAATTTTTCCCACATCTTTTCCATTTTGGCATTATTTTTGTTAAATAAATTGGGACATAGTGTAATATGTCATGTATTGTTGTTTATCTGAGATTGTATTTATCTTATTTTGAGACCTGCTAAGGACCAGATAATTTTTATTATGTCCTTATACACAAAACCATAGAATTCAAAGGCGGAGTACTTCCTTTTCCACATGACTGTATTAGTATTAAGCTTAAGTTCTGTGTCCAGTAATGTTTGTCTTGTGTTTATGATATATTTTACATTTGCATTGTTCATTACATGCAGAGAAAAAGAAGTGGCTTTATGTTGTTTGCTGCTGTTATCATACATTAACACTTTATATGTCTTATTTCATTCTTATATATATTTATGTCGCAAAAATAGTTGATCTTAAAATAATATACATGCACTCCTCACTTAATGACCGAGTTCGTTCTTACAACTTGGTTGTTAAGCAAATTGGTCATTAAGTGAGGAGCTTAAAGGCAGAATCAGGCAGGAGCTAGCCAGAAGAGCAGCAGCAGTTGCATTGCTGCTGGCTTGGTGAAAAAATAAAAAATAAAAGCTACCACATTGCTCCTGGCTGCTTTAAGCTCTGACATTGGTCTTGCCTGGTTTGTGGCAGAATGAAACAAAGACTAAGAAAGGAAAACTGGTTGTAAGTCTGAGTGGTTGTAGCACAAGTAGCTCATTAAATGAAGAGTGCCTGTACACTTTTTAATGATGAATAAGAGAAGGTGTTCGTCCTTCTGTTATTTAGGGAACTCGTACAAGTTTCAGGCTGGTAACAGAATGAATGCAATGTTGTGGTTCAAGCATCTAAGGGCTGCCTGCCAAAGCCACAGACAACAGGTAAGAGAACAAGAATCATTAACTATTTTGGCTCATAATTTAGCAGTGATAATGTTTGATTATTATTTTTTAGAAAAATGAATAGATTTATATTAAATAACATATTGTCTAATTAATATAAATATCCCTAATAGATTTTAATCCCTTCATAAGGTAAAATTATCCTTTCAATAAGCTACTTATGATTATAGTGTTAGTATATGAAAAAAAATTAATTCCCACTTTGTGTTTATTTCCTATGAGATAAATTTGAATACAAAATGCCAAAAGTGCCACATGAAACAAATTTGTACAGTTTTCACATATAAGACATGAAATAACTAACTACCATTGGCTGGAATGAAGAAAAGTAGATTAAAGACCTGGTTGTAGCCTTTAGCAAAATTGTAAAATAAAGAACTTTAATATTCCACCAGTAAATTAGTACTTTCAAAGACATACAGTGGGGTCTTGACTTGAGAACTTAATCCGTATTGGAAGGCAGTTCTCAAGTCAAAAAGTTCTCAAGTCAAATCTGCATTGCCCATAGGAATGCATTGAAAACCATTTGATCCGTATCTGCTCTTTTCCGTCCATAGAAATTAATGGGAAGCTGCTATTCCTTCTTCAACCACTAGAGGGGGATATTTTGTTTATTTTTTTCTTAGGTCAAGAAAGGTTCAGGGCAGGCAGGGAAAATACAGTCCAGGCAGTACAGTGGACCCTTGACTTACAGAATTAATCCGTATTGGAACGGTGGCTGCAGGTAAAAAAGTCTGTAGGTCAAGTCTCCATTGAGCTACAGTGCATTGAAAACCAATTAATCCCGTAACAGGCTGTTTTTGTTCCATTTTGATTTTTTTCTGGTCTGTAAGTCAAATCTCAGTCTGCAAGTCAAATCTAAATTTTGCAGCCAGAGACGTCTGTAACTCAAAAAGTCTGTAAGTCAAGCCGTCTGTAAGTCAAGGGTCCACTGTATTAAATAGGATTCTCTCGTTTCAATGTTGTATGTATTTATTTCAGCAAATAATTCACAATTCCTACACCATAACACAAACACTTTTTCATTTGTGTTACCTTGTAAAACTAACTCTCACATTTCAGTGAAATATGTTGTTTCAAACTTGTATAGCTCTCATGTTACTGAACCTGATTCAACTGCATAGCCTACTGTTTTAGAAATCCCATTTAGATTTCCCATCTTTTTTTTCTTCTAGGTAAACTCCAGTTATTAAGAGGCACTTCTAGTGTTGTGTGATGAATCAAAATAGCATTCCATAGGCCATTGCTGAAAGGAGGGATAGTTACATCTGAACAGGTTCTTGAATCTGGACTGTATTTAGCAGATTGATTATAGACAATATGGGTTTTATTGTGTGCTAAATTTGGAAATGGTTGGATGAGTGAAGTTCTAATTTCTGTTTTTAAAGAACTTCATATCCCCACTGCATTTTCTTACCATTTTTGTGTGCTCCTAGAGTTATTTTTCAAATGCTGCAAGCTTTTCATAATTTGAATTTGTGCCATCCTGTCATTTGATACAGAACTTTAAAGACACTTATTTTACATAGGAAAATTTTCATGAAGTCTGGCTGCACGTGCTTGCTGAAGCATTCTGCAGCCATTGCCCACACTTCTTGCCAGTACTTCAGGAAATTAATATATCTCAGAAAGGTAAATGAGTTTACTTCTTAGCAAGATGGTAGGTTGGAACATAAGCCCTAACACAAGTACAAGTGTTGAAAAATAACCACTAGGTTTTACCCTCCCTGTTCTCCTTCCAGAAGAAAGTGAAGATATTTTTATTTAAGTAGGCCTTCAGCAGTTAAAAGGCTTCAGTTATAAGATTTCTGATGGTGTCCCAGTTACTGTTTTAAGATAATTATTATTAATGTTTAAATTAAGTGATCTTGAAGAGTTTTAATTTTAATTGCATTTTAATTATATAATTGAATTTAATTATATGATTTTGTGATTTTATTATATATGTATTCTGTTGTTTTAAACTGTTCTGTAAGATGCAACCAAAGATGTCCAAGATACTTCTAGAAGCCATTGCAATTCCTTTGCCTTAAAGTCTGATCATCCCAATAAATCATTTATCCATGCTAAATCTAGCATGTTATAACCATGACAAAAATGTAGTTATTACACCTCCTGTTTTTTGTTTGTTTGATTTATTGATTGATCTGCTGTTATCCTGACTGGTTGAAAAAATAGTTAAAGAGTAGGGTTCCATTTCAAGTGGAAGGCAAGAAAATTTTGACAGGAGGTGTTCCATTTCTGCTCCACATGGTTTGTGTAGATTCTACAGCATGAGGCTGATTATGTCAACATTAAGGCTGATTATGTTAAAATTAAATATTTCCCCCTTTCATTTGAAGATCCCTGTGGGTCCCAAGTTTCTGGAATGAGAGAGAGCAGCAATTGTCAGTAATGAAAGACTTCCAAACAGATTATTCCAGACCCATAGGGACATCAGAATGAGAGGATGAAATGATTAATTTTTTAAAAATTGACCTGACTCAATGATGCCATCAGTCTTACTCTGCAGAACTTACACAAACAGGATTTTAGCCAATATTTAAACAATTAATTTGTTGAGGTTGCTTATACCCAACTTATTTTTCAGTGAGATCAGGCATTCTTCAGGAATAATCAAATATAGGAATGAAATATCAGGGGATAAGGGGGCACGCTGCCCCTTTCTATCCTCCATAGTTAGATCTACTAGTTAAAATAAATCCCTTTGGCAAATGAGACAAAAAATGTTTAGGAATGAAAATGAGCTATCTAAAAATGGTTCAAGCTGAATCTAGTATGTTCCTTGTTTGCACATCGGAAGGCAATCAGAACCATCTGCTTCAGTTCTAAACTTCTGGTAGCTCTATTCCTTGCTGTATCAGAATCAGGCCACAGCTTAGACATTGATTTGCCTTTTTAAAATATTGTATGTCTTTTTAGGTCCCTGCCAACTTGATGACTTTTGAGTGACAAGCTTCTTCAGAACCTGAACCAAGATGACAGTTCAGAATATTGTCTGTCTCATAGTTGGAAGAAGAAGGTCCCGATAAAAGCACACCATCTTACTTTGTGCCAGAACAAAGATGATAAACAGAATTTCAAAATCTCTGACCTACTGAACAAACAAACAGAAAAGCACTAAGAGGTTAGGGGATGGAAATGCATCATGAACTGCCATGTAGTGTTGCTTAAAATTCTCTGGACTGATCTGTGGAAACTAATGCCTTAAAAAATGAAAGGGAAACCAATATGAAAAACCAGTGTGTCTGTCTGTCTGTCTGTCTGTGCGCATGCGTGTCTGTCTGTGTGTGTGTCTCTCTCTGTGTGTAGTTGGTTTGCTTATAGTTGGTTTGCATTTAACATTGTAGCTTTTGGTTTAAAAGCCCATCATTTTTTGCATTTTTTGTGTGAAAAAGACATAAACTCAGAATATTTTCTGAGTTGTGTCAGGATGAAAGTTTGCAAGGATGTAACATATGTGTTATTAAAAAATGTGTAGATTGTACTAGTATCCCTCAGTCTGTACGAACTTTTGTTTTGTTCATGTAATTAGTTCAATTAGATCATTTGTTTAGGTTTAGATGTAAGAACTGTAACATATGCAATTTTCTTATCTTTTCACAAAGCACTGATGTTGCAGAATTTGGTACTGTATGGGGATTTTTATTCCTTTTAGGGACACACTTGAATATTTAAACATCCTTTCTCCCTTTTCTTGGAGCATTTGGTTCTCATTTCCCTCATCTGCAGGATTTTGTAAATTCAGCTCCAGGAAGTGTTGGTGAAGGTTTTTGTCTCACTCAACATGTTTTCAATACACACACTCACTTCCCAAAATTCACTATAGGTACATATTGTAAAGTTCTTCTTTGGTTCTACTTGCTGTTGAAATTTATTTGTCTCAATGCATATTGCCATTCTTATAGACACACAAGCAAGTGTTTATATTTTTCATTTGGAATTGTAAGTTTCATTTCCTTCTTCCATACTGGGCATGAAAAACAGATAATAAGCATTAACTGTGAGGCTAGTGCTCGTGAAGTACAGCTCCTGGAAAATCAGGGAAAACAGTAATGTAATATACAAGCAGGAGCACAGTGGGTAAGACTAAAAGAGGATGATTTGCATACTTTCCCTCCTATATGATTGAGGAATGTCTGTTCTGGTCTTATAATGATGTTGTAAAGAGAGCTGGTGTCTTGTTCTGAGTCACTTTTACTTTACACTTGTGTTTCCTTACCAGAAGTATTACTGTACATAATTTGCACAACTTGTTTTCCATTTTTTAAAAATCACTGTGTTTTTCTTTTCAAAGTTTCTGAAGGAAAAAAAAACACTATTTTGTGGAAAGAAACCCTGTGGAATCTTGCTTTTTTAGTAAAAAGAGAAAACACACTAGGATAGATGCATTACAAGCTTACCAGAATTGTTCTTTGTGCTTTTATAAGTAGAAAGATGCAAACTGCCATCTTGAAGATGTAAAGTTGCTAAAGACACACTGTCAGGTTTATTTTTATATGGTGATTTCATTATATTTTGACATATCCAGTGGGTTTTTCTGACAAGTCTCCGTTGTCTATCTGGAGTTTAGTACACTACATTCTCCTTTAGTGTGTTTTTACTGCTTTCCTAAATGAGGCTTGCTTTGATAGACTTGTAACATTGACAAAGACAAATTAATCATATCAAAATCTAAAGGAAGCTGAACATTGCTGTGAAGGGATCACACCCAAAATGGTTACATTAATTAGCTCATATGCACGTTGAGAGATGATTTACACACAAATCCTTCTATAGCTTTCGGCTAATTTTCAAAAACAGTAAAGAGTAAGCTATTTTAGTGACTTTCAGGAAAAATTTAATCCAAGTTCAAATGTAATACATCCATGTCAAAAGTTTGATAGAAGATGATAATTCTTAGTGGAGAACAGAAGATTGTGACGATTTCAGCATATGTTTCATACATTTTCTCTTTTATCTTGTTTTGGGCTAGGGATGGAGATTTCTTAGAGCAAATGTCAAGCCATTCAATTTTTTGTGGTATATTTTTCAAAGATAAGTTTCTTAAATATTTTTACATGCATCCTAATGTCCCTCCCAGTCCCCAAAATCAAAGTGTACTTTTTGTTTTTATGCTTAACTTATAAAATCATCTTTTTAATAAAATAGCATTAGGTTTTGTTGTTGTTTTTAAAGTTAGTATTGATAAAAATAACTAACTTAGATTTTTGCTTCAAAATGCATTAATTCACAGTGACATAAAATTTCAGAACTCAGTGCTATGAATGCCATCAGATTAATAAACGTACAGACTGTCTCTGAAAGAAGGCACTTTTATTGCTACCACACTGTGTTAGAACATTGACCTAGCTGTATGAATTTTTATACTAACAAAGTTCTGGATAAAATTCATTTGACACTGATAAAATGAAAATGTGGCGGCTTCAGTTTTATGACTCCAACTAAACCAAATTAGATACTCTCACTATCATTAATTAAAATGCTAGTTTTCAACAATATACTCCATGTAACTGGAGTTCACAATCCAAGTCATGTTCGTAATCTCTGTGAACACAAAATTAAACATTGAAACACTGAAAGTATGCCTTCAGAGTTTACACTGAGTCACAGAATGTTTAATCCTAAGTGACAAACACCAATCTATTAAAAGCCGAAAACAAACAACCAAAAAATATTAAACAGGTTCAAGGAACATTGCAATATCTTTCTGTTGTACTAGTTTCTCACTTACATATTTCTATGACACTTCTTTGTTATGCATACGCTGATATACCTCTATTGCACACCTTAAATTAGGGCTAATTTCACAAAATCATTATGAATCTTTTTTTCATTTTAAAACGTTTTACTTGCTCATGTGTATTCTGCTGTCCTAGATTATTTACCCTTGCCTTATTGTTCCTTGGGACATGGTGGCACTGCGGGTTAAACCACAGAAGCCTCTGTGCTGCAAGGTCAGAAGGCCAGCAGCCATAAGATCGAATCCACGCGATGGAGTGAGCTCCCGTGGCTTGTCCCAGCTCCTGCCAACCTAGCAGTTCGAAAGCATGTAAATGCGAGTAAATAAATAGGTACCACCACGGTGGGAAGATAATGGTGTTCCGTGTCTAGTCACGCTGGCCACGTGACCACAGAAACTGTCTATGGACAAACGCTGGCTCTATGGCTTGGAGACGGGGATGAGCACCGCCCCCTAGAGTCAGACACGACTGGACTAAATGTCAAGGGGAACCTTTACCTTCGTTGTTCCTTAGATATCCAGCAAGAGATTGATTTAGTAATAACACAAACCTGCTTTCTTTACAAGTGTCAGCCAAGCAACAGAACATGTTTTTCATGTGAAGAACCTGTATTTTCCACATGATGAAACAGCAGCTGCTTCACAAATATGTTTTTTTTTCTGATTATAGTAATAATCAGTTCAAGATAGTGTCTACCCTCCAAAAATGTATCTTGAGGCACACATATTTTCTTACCTGGAAATGATGAGGACTGAGAGAACTTGCATAAACTGCTCACTTGAATTACAAATGCTTGTTTATAACATTACTGCTACCGGATACCAAGAGTGATATAAAAGTACATTGTAAAGTCAAGTAAAGCTCATGATTTACATTCCAGTATTGAAGCACATTCCTGTATTAATCAGTCACATGTAAGTCTTTTTCATATTAAGTTTAGGTACAATGTGATCTTCTTGAGGCTCCACCAGTTGCCTTCTTTTCCTTACCCTTTTTAAACATAGTCCTTTTTCATTCCTCAACATGATTAATTGTGTATTACTTTTCTCCACTTGGTATACTGCCTGCTTCAACATATTTAAACTGGTATGTAACAGCCAGTTTTCTTTTTCTTGAAAATTTAACATCTCAAGAGTTTGTGAATTCCAACCTTAAAAATAGTATATGACTGAGGTTACAAGCCAAGATTAAAATTATAAGCAAACATGTAACATTTATCCAAAGAAGAATTAATTTGTTTAGGAGTCAATTTTTTCCATACATTACTTTTCCTTAATAGAAAACCTTTCAGTAGGATTCACTGCAACAGAATTTGGTTCTTGGATTTTGTTACACCAGCTTCTAAAACATACATACAGCTTTTGGTCAAATGTTTTTGGTATGGAAACTGTATATCTGTTGGCTGAAGTGTGTGTGTGTGTGTGTGTGTGTGTGTGTGTTTAAAGCAAGACCTAAAGCAAGGCCTTCTCTGAAGGAAAGGGTTTTCCCTCCATTTCTCAAAGTTCACCATATAAAACAGCCTTGACTAACTTAAATTGAGCATTGATTCAAGTGGCCTGTCACAATCCCTACATTGCACCTGCTTGTTTCACCAAACAAAGAGCTCATGCTATGTGCCCCTCAGCTGCCACCAGTTGATTACATCAACAATGCCTACTATTCTTCCAGTGGCCTCTGAATCACACTCTGGGTGATTCACGCCTGCGCGGACCCTCATCGGAAGATTCTAGAGCTTCTGCGGTAGCAAAAAAACATTAGAATAAGCCCCTCCCCCCATATAAGTACCTTGGTGCCAAGACTCTCCCTTCAGGTTTCTTTCAACCGCCACGTTGAGAGCCTTGTATTCTTGCTTCTGTGAGTTGAAAGTGAAAGAGTCTTACTCTTGATTCCTTTTCTTTACATACAGTTTATTTTAAATTTTTTATTTTATCGATATCTTAGATACAAACGTTCTGTTTCTTTCTTTCATTTTTGCTCAGCCCTCAGCCACAGCACTCCCCCATCCTGCTTATTTTTCTTAAACCATTTCCCCCTATGGTCTGTGATGACAAAAATACTACTTTCTGATGGCCATGCTAAGTTTCTTTTTTTCTTGGGTAAGGCACACCAAATGTCCTCTTGCCCCCCACTGTAACAATTTTAAATGCAGAGTCCTCTGCTCTCACTTTTCAAAGCTTAAGCTCTGTCTTTGGGAGCAATCCCTCCAACCGGCAAAAACTATGGCTCAGCCTGCCTATAAAACCACCTCTCAAGCCAAGGCTATGGAAAAAGCCATCTCAGAATCTTTGAAACAATGTCCATCAGCCACACCATTGCACTCAGATGCTCCATCAACTTCATCAAAGACCTCTAAAAATCACAGAGTAAACATTTGATATTGAAACCCTCGACATTGAAGTCCTCTGCTAAATGATAACTGTCCACCAAAGCCTCTTTAGCTCCAGAACCATCACTATCTAAGAGGACTAAACAGCACAAATCTAAAACATCCACAGTCATTCCACAGAATCCTGTGAGTTAATTTATGTTGGTTCACACTCTGATGATGATGGACTCCCATCCCATCAACCATGTTCTCAATCACCACAGGAGAAAATCACAGATGTTTATGATCATTCATTAAATATCATTTGGTTTCACGTTGATTCGTTTGTTTTTATTCACGTTTACACTATTCATTGACTATCTAGTTATTCTCTAGGCTTTTGAACTCTTTCCTATTCTCCCTAGCATTACAACTGTCCAATCTCTGTCTAAACTTCCTCAAATCTCCCAACTCTCTTCTATCTCCAAAACCACTTTTCTCCAACTCTCCTCTCTAACTCCCTCACCAACTCTCTAACTAACTAACTATTCTTCTGGTTCCACCCCTCCTGTCCTCTCATAGGCTCCTGCCTTTGAGCTCACCATGATGGGCAGGTATGACGTGGGGGTTCCGCCACATACCTTCCCCCGTAGAAATTTTGTTCCATGGGGTAAAACTTACAGTGGACTTACTTAGCAGTTTTCAAAAAAAATGTTTTTCCCATAACATTTCTCAGTTATACATTTTAAATCACATTTACTTTTACTCTTTTACGTAGTTTACGTATGCATGTTATTGTTTATTATGATACAACACATTTTAATCTTGTCACTTTCCACATTTAATTTGCATTTCGTACCATTTCTTTACTACTATACTGTTACTTTTATCCTTACTTACCATTTGTTCATCTCAAATTTACATTTTAATTACTTCTCTTATTTATACATAGCTAGAACCTTTTAATTAGAGCATTTTTCACATTAAAGTTACGTGTTACATTAGTCTCTTTTGTCAGTCGTCTGGTCTCCTTGTCCAGGCATTGGCCCCCATATTCTGAGTCCTTTTAACTCTCTGGATCCCAAAGTCACAGTCTTGTAGGAGTATGACACACCTCCTCAGTTTCCTATTGTTCTCGTTGTCAATCCGCAACCAGAACCTTGGAGAATGGTCATTGCATGGAACAAAATGTCTTCCCCATATATATGATTTGAGCTTCCTCAAAGACCATATAATCACCAAACACTCACAATTGATGGTGGATAGATGTCTCTCGCTTGCCTGCAGATTCTTACTCAGGAACATCACTGGATGATGGTCTCCTTGTCAGCCTGGCTCAGCATGGCTCCTGGGTCAAATCTGGACACATCAGGGATTATGGCGAAGTCCCTCCAGAACTCTGGACCTCTCACAACATGACCGGCCATCACTGCAGTCTGCGATTTCTCGAAGGTCTCCTGGCATCTGCTCGACCACAGGATCTCTGCTTTTCTCTTGGCTTTTACCTTTTTATGGGGGGGGTTCGCCACTGTCTTTATGATGTTCTGACTCAGGAAAGATGAAAGAGGCTTCAGAATTAAGAAATAAAGGGTTTTTATTAACATAACTTGGTTCAACTCTTTCTTCAACATCAATAGGTTTCTGTAACTTCAAACAAGGTGGGGAATCTTCCCAAAACCATGCTAATGATTTGTCAACAGGTAGGTCTTTTAATAATAAGTTTTCACAGTTTTCTCTTTCTCCGTTGGCACTCTCATGAACCCGTTGCGGACCACACAAAGAGTCCCGCAACAGGGATGGCGGGCCCAATCTCCCTCTTTCAACAGCTCTTTCTCTACTTCCGGATCTAATTGATGCACCATTTTCTCTGGACCGTGACCCCTGTGATAAACCAGAACTGTCCATTCTTCGGGGTTAAGACCGGGTATTATAGGACTGGACTTTTCTCTAACTGACTCTTTGTACTCGTCATCTATATCACTCTTAGCCGGTCTTTTCTGTGGGACTGAGAACACTCGCACTTCTTCGTCTGGTTCTTCAGTCACTTTCTCCTCTATCACGGTCACTTTCTGGGTCTCCTTTGATTTACTCCCTTCTTCTGTCGTCAAGAACACGTCTACGCTCTCCCTTTCGCGGCTCCAATCTTTCCCCTTTTTCTCAACTGATGACTCTGACCGTTTTTTCCGTTCTTCCTCCTCGCGCTTTTCCCCGCTTTCCCCTCCTCCTATCTCATCCTCGCGGATCCTTCTCTTTTCCTTTGCGCGCGCATCTGTCATTTGCTTTTCTTTTGGTCTTGCTCCTAACTCCCTTTCAGGCTTTATCTCTTGATCTATCTCGGATGGTTGAGGGGACGGCTCACTCTTTGATGTTCTTGCTATTTCCTCCTCACACTTTTCTAAAGGAGAGGCTTTTTCTCTGGAATTGGCTACCCAATAGCTTGCTTTCCTTATCAAAACTTTTACTCTTGCTTCCTTTATTTGTTCTATGAGCAAAGTAAAGCTTATTTCTATTTTCTCAATGTTATAATAGTGCACTCCTCTTCCTTCCCAGTATTGCATTTCATCTCTTGGGCTCTTCTTCTATTGTATATA